AAAATATAGCAGTACCCCCCCCCCCCTCCCCTTTTAAAATATTTTTTCCAACCCTGTACACTCTCTGTATCAAAATCTCATTTTGAAGCATTGTATCCGTGTCTCTATGCAGTCCTATCGAATCCACTCAATCTACGAGTCTAAGATAAGGTCGTACTAAGTGATAGACTGTTTTCATTTACCATGTTCGAAGAAGAATTTCGTTCTTTCTAGAAGCAACTAGCTAATCTCTAGAATGGTTAATAGTCTATTGAGATAAGTATTTCTATCTTGAAACGATATTGTTTTCTCAAGATAATCGATGTAATTGTTTGAAATTTTGACAAGACAATCTCTACTTCTTGTTATTCTTCGAGTTTCGAGAAAATCTTTGACAAATCTCGATTGTACTCCAGTAAAGAATTGCTGCTCATCGTTTTTCTTCTACTCAGCAAATACTGATATTGAGTGAATTATCAGTCAATCCAGACGAGTTTAGAATGGATCCGAATTCGAAGACCAGTGAATTTCGATATTTTCTCAATCATGAACAAAAATATCTTTCGAACTAATAGGTGACCTAGAATAAATGGCGATCTCAGTATTCGATAGGTATTTCTGACATTTTACATAGCTTGCACCTTATTTTTTTATCAAAAGATTCACCATGTAATTCTGAATGAAAGGGTAAGTTTTACTCGACAGCTACTGATACCTTCACCCTTAGACAACAGCATGATTAAAAATCAACATTACATATAACTTTCAAATCCCTCACTTTCTTTGATTTTTTCCGAAAACATCTAATTTCTGAATTAATATTGTTATTTTTGGCGTGAGACTTTCTTTACTCAAGTCATCAGCTAAATTGACCTGAATAGGTTGGTTGAAATGTACTAATTCATTTCTTGTGTCGCGAACGCATCACGTCAAAGTTCATTCAGAAATTGGATATTTTCAGAAAAGCGGCGAACAAACTGAAGCTTTTGATAGTTGCGTATAATGACGATTTTTAAATGCTGCTGCATACAGATGAAGAGATCAGTGGTTTACGAGTAAAACTTACCCTTTCGTGCAGAATTGCATCGAAAATCTTTTGATAAAAATAAAATAAAACGTAAGCCATGAAAAATGACTAAGAAACCAACCAAATACTGAGACCGCCATTTATTCTGGGCCACCCATTATTTATTCATAGTTTCACTTTTTGCTATTAGTTATGACGATTCTTTCATTTGTTGATTCGATCTATATTTTCTTACAATAAAATAGAAAAATCGATCACAAAATTATGTCAACACACAGTTTTTGAATCTTTCATTTGACGAGTCAAATAGATCGGTTTTTTCAAACAGTAGTTTTGATACGATAGCTATTCTGGCATAGAGAGCTTTCAGCGTAATTTCTACAGGATTAACAGGTGAAACACGACAGAACCGTTTTCATTATATATGAAGACCATCGCTATACTGATCACAATCCATGAGAAGATCGAATGAACAGTATGGAGGAATGTCTGTCACGGTCTGTGACGAGTTTAAATTAAATTATTAATTAATCGATATTTTTTAACTAATATTTTAGTTAATAAATTCATGGTCCATTAATCCTAACTAGCATATCGAAAATGTCTGTCACGGTCTGTGGAGCAGGGTGGAGTTCACTTCTCTCGCTATATATTTCAACACTCATATCCAATCGTGTTTCAAAAAATTTGATTCGAAAATGCAGTCCACTTCGATTTACATTTATTTTTTCGTAACTTTTCGTCATTCATGACTTCCTTCTCCATGCTAGCAATGGATCAATTCAGATAAAGACCTGTTTGGATATATAATTGTCTCCTAGAAATTGATTTTCGTTGTTTCATAAAGGACGATCATATTTGAAAATTGATCAGCAAGCTAAATCACATCCTTCGTCTTACTATCGACAAAAGAACAGAAGAAAATTATGTATGGAAGGCAATGTTTGTCTGAAGAAGTATTTTTGTTCTACGTAAGGGAGGTCTTATTTCTGTTGAAACATCGCACGAATAGAAATAGACCTAAAAAAGTCGTAAGGCTGCGTGGGTGAGTCCGGCTGTAGGCGTGGGTGTGGGTATCGAACAAGCGAGAATCCACACCTCAATATCTTGATATGGACAATATTCATCTCTTGTTACCTGATGAACTTGAAAATCTTATTGCTAATACTCCTCGTGTCACTCGTTTATCAATGAAATTCGATCTATTATTCATTATACTGTCACAAATTCGTTATCTCCTACTGGAAGGTTTTGGTTAATCGATTTCTCTTAATAGACTTTCTTATACAATATCATCTGCTGAAAGGCTAAGGATATCCGTGGTATCAAAAAAATGATTATTGATGTTATTGATCGATTCAATGATCTGAAGAATCTTGAGGAGTGAGAATGTGAGGTGAGGGTGAGTAAATCGAAATCCTCACACCCTCATCCTCAATGGAAAGTGCCTGACAGAGATGGGATCGGTTGGCATTTTTTCCTAACCGAACCGATCGTAACCGAAAAAATTGCTGACCGAACCGAACGTAACCGACCGAATTTTGAAACATTCCCAACCGAACCGACCGTAACCGAAAAAATCGTTAACCGAACCGAACGTAATCGACCGAATTGTAAAAATTTTCTAACCGAGCCGAAAGTAACCGACCGAATTTTTTTTATTGTTCAGCTAGAAAAGAAAACACTTACTCAACAAATTGAATATTAGCCGAAACAAATTGAATGTTACCAACAACAGTTGAATACCATCAACATCAAATTGAATACGAACGGCAAATTGAATGCTAGAATTCTACCTGGGACAAGCTCGAGTTGAAAAGTCGGCTGACTGCAGACGCGATGAGCTACCACTGACGATCATAGATATGAAAGCTCAAAGAATTTTATATGAATGCCACCTGAATTTGCTGACTTTCTGCTAGCGAATCATTTTTGAATATAAATGACCATCATCAGCTGTTAATTATCGTTTTTCTGCATATTTCTTTCGATTGTTTGATCGCCATTAGGAAAAACGTATCTATGCGTTGCAGACTTCATGATGTACTATTTTAAATTTCACAAGGCGATAATTAATGAAAATATATGTGTCAGGCAAAATTGAGTCTTAGACAAAATTAAACCTAGATTTTGAAAATTTAAATTGTTAAACGAAATTGAGCTTCCTTGTTTTAGTGATTGATGAAAAGTAGTGAAATTGCAAATTTTATAATTTTAATTCAAAAGTATATAGTAAATTTGAGATGTACGGTTCACTGGTCTTTTCTATCGAAATCATCAATAGATTTAGGAAGATGTAGAGTTCACTAGTCTTTTCTATTTAAATCATTATTAGATTGAGGAAGATGTAGAGTTCGCTAGCTTTTTCTATTGAAATCATCATTAGATTCTGGTAGATGTAGAGTTCGCTAGGAAGGATGGAGAAAAGAGAACAAAATAAGGATTAAAAAAAATGTATAAAATATCGTTAGTAATGATACAGTTTGAGAATAGTTTATTTTTTTCTATTACAGATAATAATGATCAATGTTAAATATCAATTGTTTTTTCTTACCAATAACTTTACAGATGATCAGTTACATTTCCTTCTTAATATAGAAAAACAAGAGATAATCATCAGACAGCTAATACCATATGATGTTAACTAAATTAAGTTAATATAAAATATTGACTTTTTAAATTTGTTTACCATAAGAATAATTTTCTGACTTGTGCCCGACCAAAAAATGAGAGAAGGAGTAAAAAGGAGAGAAAAAAATGGAAAAAGAAATCATAAAATACATAAATCTAATTAGTCATCATATGGTTTGAGAATAGGGTTTTTATTAAAAATAATAATAATAATAGTTAAATATTAATTGTTTTTTCTTAGCAATACCTTTATGAATGATCAACTACATTTTCTTCGTAATATAGAATCGTGACTCATGTGTTGAGAAGAAGAAGGATTTACTATGGTAACTAAGCAAGTCGAAAGCAATAAGTCGGCTACTGCCTGCACTTCGTGCAGTCAGTCGACTTAACTCTAGTGCAGTCGTGCTTTTTTTTTTCTTTGTTATATCTCACCGGAAAATCCGCTGAAATCAAATTAAAATGATTTCGGTTCTTTCCAACCGAACCGAACGTAACCGACCGAATTTTGAAAAATTCCCAACCGAACCGACCGTAACCGAAAAAATCGTTAACCGAACCGAACGTAACCGACCGAATTTTTAAAATTTTTCAACCGAACCGATTTCGGTTACGGTCGGTCGGCTCGGTTCGGTTTTTAACCGAACCGGTCCCATCTCTGGTGCCTGACAGAATTTTTTTTCTATTCCTAATTCTGCCACGCCATGTGTTTTCTGTTCGCATAGTAAAATGACGATCGCCTGATAGTTTATCCAATCGTTTGTTAACCTTCATTGCTGACCGAAGTAAATTAGCCGGTTTAAGTTTGTTGAAAATTGCCAAGAGTAATTTAATGTTGGTGCAGTGACGAACGATATCAAAAATGGGAAAACCATTAGGAGATATAGAGCGAAATTTCTTTCCTAGGGTACAGTGACACCTTCGCAATCTTTCAGAAAATGGTGAGCGAATCAGTCTATTGAAAAGCCAGAGGTGCAGAATCTACCCGTGTGCGCCAGCGCGCGCTTGGGGAAATTTTTTGGATATGGGGAAATTTTTGAAAAATTGTTAAATGAATAAATTTTGAGATATTATTGAGTGCGAAATCTTTTGAAAAATTGTTAAGTGGGGAAATTTTTGGAAATTTGTTAATTGCAAGGTTGTTTCAAAAAGTAACTTTTTTCTATGTGAAAAAAAATACCAAGCGTCATTGCTCTATCCACAAGTTTCTTGCCTTTGTGCTATCAACTATCTCTGTTGTTGGCTTATTTACTTTTTATTTTTTTTAGTTGGGGAAATTTTTCGAAATAATTTTAGCGCTTGGGGAAATTTTTCGTTTTTACGGCAGATTCTGCACCTCTGTGAAAAGCGCTATCTTGTAGAGCTATGTTGAATAAACATATTTCGAATCTTCTAGATCTTTAATTGCCTGTAATGTACGAGCAAGTGATGGATGATTTTCATGCAAGTATTGTTTTTGAATAGCTATTGCTCGTTGAAAACAGATATAGGCATTGTCATAATCTTGTTTACGATGATAACATAGACCCAAATTGTATAGTGTCAGTGCTATATCAGGATGTTCATCTTTTTGAAA